GCCTATATACATAGAAATTTCACAAAAATTTTGACCGTATTAACAGCCTGCAAGCGAGCCTCCAAAGATAAAATCATCGGTAGCCTGCAGTGGGTAACTGCTTCAAAAAGAGCAAATATAAAAGGATTTTTGAAAAAAAATAAGACTCCCAAAATTATTAGAAATGGAAAAGTGAGCGTATGAGTAAAAAGGATAAGTGATACCAAAGAGTTCTTTTCTTAATCCAAAAAAAGCGAATCAAAAAGAAAAAAAAAAAAAAAAACGGAAAATTCTGCCAATACATGCTCCTATCGAGTCAACAAACAGTAGCAGCACGGCTTCCAGAAAAAGCTTCCTTTTTTGCTGATCCAAACATATCTTCTTGTACATACCACTTAGAATGGTGCCTTATCTCCTACTCCATTACACTTACCTTTCATGCAAAGTGCCTTGGACAAGCTGCACAATTTTAATTACCTATTTGCAAAATTTCGCCAAAAATTATGAAACAATTTAAGTTTATGCCACAACAACAAAAAAAAAAAAATCGAAAAACTGATAAAAAAAAAACAACCTTTTTATCAATGTGCACAGGTCTGCCACCTTCACCGGCCTGATTTTTATCACCTGATTTGTAAATCGCTGAGTTTTGGTTGAACAAAATTTCATTCGGTTTTGGTATATTTCCCTGCAATTTCTTCAGATCTGTAAAAAAAGAGACAGTAATAATGCTGTGAAGAAAAAACTGGGTACGTCTGCACGATGCCAGATCGTCGAAACTAATACACGTGAAGAAACCTAGCAATGCTAATGCGCCAACAACACATGTATGCCTATGAAAAAGTACAATAACCTGGCTTTTTATTCATCCGGAGAGGCTCTTTAAATATGCTGGGAATGGAACCCATTGTAGACATGGAATCCATCGTAGTTCCATTACCCGCCGTCTCAAATATTTTCAAATAACGGAAGCAAAAATAAGGGAAAATGTTGTTCGTTTTTGAATGCCTCATTAGCAGGCTTTCTGGATGCAGCTATTTCAGTTAAAAAAGGCTATTAAAAAGAGGAATCCTGGCATAAGAGATAAGCGATCAATCCAAATGTTAGGTTGCAATAGGTGTTTCATCACTTAGCTGTAAACAGAGGCCGAGCCGAGTGCGCAAGTAGGAGTGGGAATCACTAGCAGAGCCTTTTACCAGCTGAAACCAACCTCTCCCACGTGCCCCTTGCTTTTATCTTCCTCCGCCTTATGAAGAGATTCCTCGTCAGTTCTGATTGGCATCGGAGGTCCAAATCCCTCGATTTTTCGCTCCCTCGAAAATCCAATATCTTTAGCATGCCTTCCTTCAGAAATCTGCAAAAAGAAATGCTAAAATTTAAAACATGTTACTTTAGCAATACAACAGCTGGATTTGCAAGCAAGAAGAGCTAGCTGAGGAAAAGTTGGAAGCAACCTGAATGGCAGAACATGCCAATAGTAATTCTAGGCCCAAATATTTTTACTAATAACAGTTTCGGTCATTAGTCAAAGAAAAAAAAAAAGTTCAGCGGGGCAGTGCAAATTGATTCGTTTGCGATTATCAGTGAAATTTGCCAAAATATTGGCGATATTTCTGCTGGCGGGTATCAAATGATATCTTCTTAAATTACAAAAAAAAAGCAAATTCGTCACCATACCATTAGATAAATCTGACAGAGGGCAAACCGGGGCATACCGAAACAGTTGGGAAACCCCGAGGCTTGAGTAAACAGCGTTGAGCAAGACTAAACAGTAGTTCGGCAAAATTTCGTCAGCGATTTCAGTGAAATTGGGGTGAATTCATGTTTTTATATAAAATGGGATTTTTTTAAAATTTATATTCAAATTCAGAATTCATATTTATAAAATTCATATTTTTATATAAAATATGTTTTTTTTTCTTATGTGCAAATTTATATGTATAAAATTCATATTTTTATGTATGTTTTTTCATATACAAATTCATATTTTTATATAAAATATGCTTTTTTTTCTCATTTATATAAAAATTTATATTTGTAAAATTCATGTTTTTATATAAAATGTTTTTTTCTCATTTACATACAAATTCATATTTTTATATAAAATATGTTTTTCTTGTTTATATACAAATCCACACTTACAAAATTTATATTTTTACATATGTTTTTTTTTATTTATAAACAATTTCATATTTTTATATAAAATATGTTTTTTCTTTTTGTTTATATACAAATTCATATTTAAAAAATTTACACTTTTATACACAAAAGTACGCTATTTATATGCAAAAGTACGCTATTCACAGTTACTGAGTGCTCGATGGCCAAAGAAAGGAGGCGAAAAAGATTACCTTAGTTGGATTACGTGAAGAGATGTAGAGCAAGGCACAGAGCCAGCACGCTGGCAGCACGAGCAGCAGTTTGAGGACCGCCGAACGCCTCCTCGGAATGATTATTGCACTCATTGGTGCCGGCACACCGTCCTTCCTCGCAGCACCCCCACACACAGCCGACTGCCACTGAAACACACACACACAATGGAGATGGGGTACGCCATCACAAAAATACACGAAAAATCAAATTTCATGCGCAGCGATGTGCTGAGGCCGCCTCGGACGCACACCCCCATCCGCCGAGTGACCAGAGGTCAGCCCACTGGCGGTTTCGTCGCCTACTACACGCCTCCTCGAGAATGCACCAGCTCAATGACCCGACCAAACAAATATTTACAGAAAACAAAAAAATACGCAAAAATCCGGCGCACAGACAGATCTAAATATACAGACATGCGTACAGACCCACATACAAACATATACCAGCAAATCCACGCAAATTATTAAAACCCGGATCGACCTGGCATGGCGGCACCATACATGATTTGCGAAGGGTTTTTCCTTTGCGATAAGGAAGCCACGGTACTGAAGACGAGTTTTTGTAAGACAATTTCCATTCGCCTGAACATAATTATCATTTGTTTTTGCTTTTATTCATAGGTTCCGATTCTTCGGTTTCGCTTTTTTTAGTTTTTATTCACGTTTGCTTTAATTTACTTTTCTTTGTGGCGCTGGTTTTGTCTCTTTTTGTTGCTGTCTCCATTTCTCGTCTCGAGCTTCTTCTGTTCCCAAATCCTGCTTCCAAAGTGGCACCCAGGTACCCACCAACCCCCATCACAACCAACCCTCTATCCGTTACCCCATCTTCGACTGGACAAGCGCCACCGGCACTCGTTGGCAAGGCGACGCCACGAAATAGCGTTGGCAGAGAAGCTAGAGCGTCTATCAATGGCGGCCGAGCTAAGCCGAGCTTTAGTAGCCGCCGGCTCGGCGGCTTTTGCTCGAGTTGCGAAAGACTGCGATTTTGATTCATTGAACTTTTGGTTCTGTTGCACGTTGTCGGGGGAGGGAGTGCTGCAGATTTCGTGTCGGGTGAGTGACGGGGCTACTTATTGTGGTGATTTTCAGAGCTGAGGGTGTGTTAAAACGATGTCTCTGCAGAAGGAGGACGTTTATGAGACGGAGGATTTGCCCGAAGATGATCAACAGCTCATCGAAGACGAGGTGCACGAAGGTGAAGGTATGTTTGATCACTCACCATTCAGAATTGCTTACTCATCCTCTTCTCATTGTCGCACTCATCGCCTCATCTTTCTAGCCTTATACGATTAAGAGCATTGCTCGCCATATATATGGCGGGTAGGAGGCTGTACTGATGATTCCCATTTCTACCTCTGGCTGCATTCAGTCTGTGTTTACAGCTAAGGGATGAAATATTTTGGCATATCTCAGTTGTGCATGATTTTTTTAGACTGATATCTACTTTTTATTACGATATTAGAATTGGCACAGTGTATGTATGCAGAAGAAAAATCCATTGAAGCTGTTACATTTGCAAAAGTACAGGCGTATTTCCATGCCGAAACTTCCCTTTCCTCAGTCGCTTCTGCCTTTGGCTTCGTTCTTTTATCGATACAAAAGCAGCGGATGGGCATTTCTTTTTTTTTTTTTTGGCATCCATTTTTATTTGTTTCGATTTTCGACTAACATACTTCGGTTTGTTTAGTTTGGCATTTTTTTTTTTTGGCTTTCGAAACTCTCTTCGATTTTTAATTCAGTTTTGAAAGAAAATTCAACGTTTTTGATGGATTCAAAAAAAAATTTAACCCAAAATTCAACGCTTTTGGTGCTTTTTCTAACTTTTATGTATTTGTTGTGACCAAAAAATTTACTTGTAACCAATCCGGAAACGAAGGTTCTCTTTTTTTCCGGCAGTGGAGCTTACTAGTTTTGATTCTTAGCAGTAGTGACGACATTTCGAAACGGCTAAAGCCTTGCCAGATGTTTTTGTCGCGAGAACGTTGGGTATGGTAAACCCTTTGGGAGGCGAAACGAACGTCAGGATCGCCAGTAAGCTGACCAACAAGCGATGTAGCATTGAACAAACCGTGTTGCCAGCTGCACAGATGGAGAACTGTAGCTAAACCAAAGGGTGAAGCTATTTTGAGGGGTTAAATTGGATAGGTTGGCCATCGACAGGTACTTAACTGGTTCAGTGAAATCTGTTTTAGAAGTGCAGCGTGTGCATATCGATGTTGGCGAGGCAATGAAACGCTTCAAGGGACGCCTTGTAAACGCCGAAAATGTTGGTAAGCCGAGATCAGATTATGTGATCGCTTCTTCCTTTTGCTGCTGCCCAAATTTACCGTGTTCGTTGTTGCTAGCGCAGAGAATTATTGCTGCAAAATTTTATGCTTTTTTTCCATGTGTTCCTCTGTACGTCACTTATGAAAAAGCAGCTGATAGCGTTGAGCTGATTGCTGTGCTCTAAGCTCTTTTAGATGGAGGGATAGATAAGGATTGTGTGGAAATTGTTGAGGAAGCGAACATAGACCGCTCGTTTGACATAATTTTTTCTTCATTTGGATCCATATACCGATCGAGTGGGGAGTTAGGCAAGGCAACCGCATATCGTCCAAGCTATTCACGGCCTGCCTCGAAAAGATAATTTCAAAAATTATTCCGAAAGGTAGTCTGGAGATCAGTAGCGAGAAGTTAATTGGCCTGGTATCGTGACTGATTTCTGTCTAGCATATATATATATGTGTGCGAAATTGCCATGATGCATTTTGAGATTTCTCCGATTCGATTGCTCGTAAGAAGCGCCGTGGCTATGGTGGTGGTGCCTATGTGCTTGAAGTGGTCGGGCCGTATGCTGATGAAAATGAAACGCTGGAGCAAAAACTGACACGTCTGGAGTGTGAAGTGAATGATTTGGTTGAAGCATTGCGATTCCAGGAACCACAGGTCCAGCGCTGTATTTCATTTTGCTTGCAATACTGTCTTGATCCGCTTCTGCTCTGGGCAGCCGTATCCTTAACTGTATCTCTCCATTGCTGTGTACGCTCAGTTTTGCGCGAAGAATCCTTTTTTTTGGGAATTATATAAACCAGGAAAGAATTGAGTCTCTCATTTTCATGATTTTCAAATCCTGACGTGTTATCCATTACACTACCGATTTAAGCGCTTCCACAGCTTTTCTGTCGTTTTTCCCTGCTCACTTTTGTACCGACAGGCACATGCATGACGGGGAGAGGGAGTGGGGATAGGGTCGGAAAAATGAATTTCGAAGCAGAAACATCTATGTTTGATCGTCAAGTGAGCATCACGTCTGGTTTATCGGAATTCATTTTGATACCCGTGATAATATCGCTGGCCATTTTGAGCAGTTTTTAACATTTTTGGATCGAAAGGCCTGGCATAGCTGCACTTGACACTAACATGGGATACCCAAATAGATGCCTCAATGGTCCTGGTAGTCTTGCTACTAAGCTCGTTCACCTGAGGGGATGTGTGCGCATAGGCAGCAATGCAGTTTGCTTTGTTCGATTAATTTCGTTTTTGGAGCTAAAAGCCGAGCACATTTGATCTTATACAATTATGGTATTTATGGTAGTCGAGATTTTTCAAGATTGGGCTTTTTCTTAAAATGAGAACTGTATTTTCCCGCGAGTAACTTTATTGATGCTTTGGTTCCAATTAGATATCCTTTATTCATTGCTAATTTAGAAGTGTTCAAAAAATTTATATTTTAATTTCTTCTCGTTTTCCAGAAAGAAGATAAATCGGAAGCACGTGTTGCTCGTGAGGATTATTTGATCTCGCTGTTGGAAGAGCTAAAAGCAATGAAAGTTAAAAGAAATATGATTGAAATTTCTCCTGGGAATGAAGAAAAGTATGTCGCTGTTGAACTGTACGATGTCTTTTTTTTTTCTTTTTAGTTAAAAGTGTCGGTGCTGTCGCAGTGAAACATGAGCAAGTTCACGTGTGCTGTTTCTCCTCCTCTCTCTTTAGCTCATCAAATTGCTTCGGCTATTAAATTTTCATAACTCTTTTTTTGAAAGTTCAAAGGCCCAACTTTGCTAGTGGCACAGTCAGTCTCCTCTACGATTCGTTTCGATGGTAAATTGGTGCTGGCGCATGACAAGGAGTCAAACCCTCCATCTGTTTACCCTGAGCAACCCATGAAAAGAGGAGCAGTCAGCAGCCCCTTGCCAGCTAGTGCTTGCTTTTGACACATTCCGAGTATCTTTATTTTTTTCGTATTCGAATTTGAGTATCAAATCAATATCAAATCAATTTATGTATCAAATCAATTTATTTTTCGTGTTCGAATGTAATTAAGCTTGGTTTAAAAGTGCGCCACGACTTATATTTTGTAAATGAATTTACTTTTGGCAAGGCTGCCAGGAACCCCTTATCCGAGGATTGCATGGAATCAAACTGGTGTCGGTTTTGACACCCTTGT